TAGTAAGCGCAACACAGCGATAACAGCAAGAATTGTGGGGGTGTATTGTGATTATTAAAACCGCTAACACACATTAAGTGTTTTGGTTCATATAGCTTACTACACCAACTACACTGTGTGTTAAGTTTTTAGTCTAAGACTGGTTCATATAGCTTGTTATACCAGCTCTAATGCATTACATCTTATATGAGACCCAGGATTTTCTTCTTTTATTTCTTTTTTTTACCTTTTGTTTTGCAATATGTGGGGGATTGTTGTAAATTAAGGGGTATTGCAAAACAGAGCACACGTTACAGAAGACTGTTTCAGAGCACACGTTGAAGAAGACCGTTTTAGAGAACGCTTTAGAGAACGTTACAGAGAACGTTACAGGAAACGTTACAGACCCACTACCAAGTCTTTCATAACTGTTACAGACTTTCTCTTATAAATAGAGACTACTTCACACTCTTCATAACCACCTCTCTCATCTTCTCTTCTCTGATCTTTTTTCTGTGTTCTTGGGTTAATTTACTCTTTTGAGAGTTTCTTGCTAGTTTCTGAGATCCTCGGATATTCCGAGAAGTTCCTGTTGTATCCTGGGGGACTTGCGCAATACACTGCGGATAAGTCCTTAAGGGCAGTGATTATACACGCCTCAGGAATAAAGTTTGCTCGTGTCTCTGTCAGCTTTTACAACAATGAGAGTTTCAACATATATAAATTATCCAAATTCAATTGATATAAATCATAAAAAAGTGTATCAATTTCAATCATACAAATACGCTTAAATAAACTGAAATAATCATTCTCAAACTTAAAAAAGTATCCAAAAACATCAAGCTTTGGCAAAAAAACTAAATTCCTAGTAATACTAGGTACATAAAAAGTATTCATAAGGTCTAAGTGATATCTAATATTAAGATTAAACGATAAGTCCTAACCGTTTCTATTGGAACCTTCACTTTATTCCCCATGAAGACGAACTTCTCATTTGGGTTTATAGTTTTGATTGAAAGGAATCCCTGCATCACATTAGTATGGGGAACTTTAGTTAAGTTTTATTCAAAACATACGTAAGTACTATGTTCACTTTTCTTTTCGAATCAAGTTTTACGCTTTAAGCAGTCCTTTTGAAAATGTCCAAACTTCCTGCAGAAATGACATTTGTCATTTTTCTTTTCAATTTTAGTAGAGGACTCACTAATCTTTAATAACCATTTACCCTTTCCATGTTTCTTAACAACTTTTTTTTCAGCTCCTTGATTTTTCATATAATGAATAGAGTGGCTTCGTAGGTTCTTGAGTTTGGTCTCCTCTTGGACTAACATACTGTGCAATTCATGCACATTCCATTTGTCTTTCATAGTGTTATAGTTCATCTGGAACAGACCATAATCAGACAGTAACAAGTTCAAAATGAATTGCACAAGAAATTTTCTTTCACTATCATTCCAAGAGACTTGAGTCTTATTGTAATATTTGTCATTTCGATTACGTGTTCATGCAAACTATGAGAACCATCAAACTTCATGGTGGTCAACGTACTCATCAATGTCCTAGCGAGAAATTTGTCAGTAGTTTGGGAGCGTTCTTCCACAAATTTCATAAATTGTTTCGCAACCTTTCCATCTCCTCCAACTCTGACAACTGATTTTGATCTTCTTATTGTCCTTTGTATAGGTATAAACTTTACACATAATCCCTCTCATTACTATATTGTTTTAAGTTATCATAATTTATCACCATCACTTTATATTTGCTTGTGTTTTATTTCTTTTGTGTCAATTCCAAAATACGTAGGTGAAATCTTAGCTCATCCTGATTGACATCAGGCCATACTTTGAAATAACTACTCTTCAACACAGTGGTACTTGAGAACTAGTTTCTTTGCCATTTGAAAAATATGTTGTTGGTTGTAAGTAGATTATTGCTATTAAAGTTAGTCCTGATGGTACTATTAATATTCTCAAAGCTCGTCTAGTGATCAAAGGTTATACATAAATTTTTGGGTTGGATTATGGTGACATTTTTTCTCCAATTGCAAAGATAGTTATCGTCGTCGTCCTCCTCACACTGTTAGGTGCGGGGAAACAATAATGCGAGTGATCGCGACGCGATGGTTTGTGATTTGTGTTTTCTAAAATGTGGTCATCATTCTTCGAATGCTCGTTAACCGAACTATCTTTAAGAATGAGGTTTTCGTAAAAATGGATTTTTAAGGAATCATCACCAATATTTTAACCATAAACATTGGAAAAGGATAAAAAAAGAAGGCGTTGGTTTTAAGAAAATCAACTTTGATCATTATAACCAGAGTTGGGTAAGGGAATTAGTTACGTGTGGGGAAGGTGTTAGCATCCCATAACGTCCTTTTCGGGTTCCTATGATGGAATAATCTTAAAATAAAGACACAAATATTATGCTTCTACCCTATTTATTTATCTACTTGCAGTAATTAAATATCTACATGGTCCTAATTTCTAATGCACACAGAAGAAAGCGATAAAGGAAAGTAGTAAAAGAGAAGGAATAGAAAAAGGAACCTCTGAAACGAGTTTTTATATATATCTCTTGAAAACGTGAGGACGCTTTTTGGCAGTCATCTCCCTTTACAAGAGCACTCCTCCCACGAACAGTAAAATTATTACACTACCGAGCGCCGAATATCTCAAAAGGAGACTTTCTCAATCGATTAATCCAAAAGGGATAACCGGAAAGACTACTCAGACTCTGAAACAAAGCAAAAAATGCTCGAAAAATGTTTCAGAGTAGGAGAGAGAAGAGAGTTCTCAATCCAAGGTGCAAAAGTGTGTGAAAATGGGGGAGAATGAGCTCCTATTTATAGGCTTGCTCACCCAGGAGGTCGGGACAGTCGTCCCTGATTTTGTCAAGCGGGACGGCTGTCTAAAATTTTGGGACGGTCGTCCTGGGCTAATAAAGGGGTGGGACGATAGTCTGGATTTGGGACGACCGTCCCAGGCCCCCAAGGGAGTTGAGACAGTCGTCTAGATCTAGGACGGTCGTCCCAACCCTCTAACAAAAACCTTAATTTTTTTTTTTTTTTAAAACTCTACTTTTCTTAAATGGAACCTAGAAAATGCTGCTAGGGGCCTAATGAAGTTTTGACCATCTTCGAAATGGAGGATTTCTGAACTTTATTGTAAGGCCGGGCAAGATGAGGGGTCTACAATAGTCTTTGTTCGCTTATTCATAGGCATGGTTGTTCTTTAGCATTGACCTCTTTATCAATTGGATATCAAAAATAATTTTCTTAATGGTAATTTGCAGGAAGAAATTTATATGGAGCAACCTCCAAATTTTCTTGCTCAGGGGAGTCTTCTAAATTGATATGTCGTCTCCGCAAATCTTTATATAGTCTCATACGGTCTTCTTGAGCTTGGTTTGACAAATTTAGCATTATTGTTCTATAATTTAGTATGATTTGCAGTGAGGTAGATATTCAATATTCTACTATCACTCAAGTGTTAAATGTATTTATCTAGTCGTATATATTGATGATATTGTACTTACAGCCAGTAATTACCAAGGTATTTCACAGGTGAAACAACACCTTTGTCACCACTTTCAGACTAAAGATCTTAGCAAACTTAAGTATTTTTTAGGTATTGAGGTAGTTCAAGCCAACAATGGAATCGTTATTTCTCAAAAGAAATATGTATTAGATATTTTGAAAGAAGTTGGGTTAATGAATTCAAAGTCTGAAGACACACTTGTGGACCTAAATGTCAAACTCCTACCTAACCAGGGGCAACCCCTCTTAAATCCTAAAAAGTATAGAAAATTAATTAAGTTAGATTATCTTATCATTACTCTTCTTGACATTTTTTTTTTTTGCGGTTCAGTGTGTTGTCATCTGTATAATTGGATTAGTTAACTCTGATGATCAACTTGTCGATATGTTTACCAAATTATTATGAGAACCTAAAATTAATTATATTTATAAAAAGTTTGGAACATACAATTTATATACATTAAAAGAGAGTGTTAATGCAACTAATTTAAACTTACATCATTTATTTTTTTTCCAAATCTTTGTATTTATATTATATAGTAACCTTATATGCGATATAACAATTCAACTTATGTTTTTTCTTATTATAAGAGATTATAATTTTATAATATTAAAAAAAATATATATACGAAAAAGATTATGAGAAATATATGTTAAGACTCCGTGCATGAGTCCATTTTATAAAAAAACAAAAACAATAAATATAAATAATTATATTTTTATATACATTATATGATATGTTTATAAATTATATTCTAATAAATCTACTCTAAAATAATATTTGAAGATATTTCTCATATTTTCACCACTCCCTCTTAAGATTAAGTTTGCTAAAATTTTAGCTTGCAAGAAAAAAAACAATCATCCCAAATAATGATTAATAAAAGAACATAAAAATTGAAATAAATTTGAGGTCTGTGAATCCGAAGAAAGAAGAGGCAAGGCCCCTTCGAAATGCTGCGACCAATGCATCTAGAAAATGTTGTGAAAGAGTCTGGATTAAAAAGTCAAAAGTGAGGACATGTGTCTACGACAAGATGCTTTTAGGAAAAAAGTCAAACGCAATCCATCTGTGACAAAACCAGTGCAGAGTGACAGACAAAATCAGACAAGAAAGACAGCATTTCACAGAGGATAGGACCATTATCATTCCGCCTTAGAAATTATATTGTAAATCTATTAACCCAACAGAATCAACCTGAAACATAAAATATTATAGTCGCTTATACATTATATCTTTAATCAATATAGTCTTCCACAGATATAACCAATGTTAAGTTCATCTTATTTACCATGTAACCACTTATTATACATCCGTTGTCCCACCTGTGCGGAAAGAAAACATACAGATAAACAGTACATTCCATGCACTCTCGCTCGAGTATGAAACTATACAATTCGGTGGTGGTATTAATAAGTCTTATCACTGCTTTATGCTTCACACCACAAGAATTCAAGTACATAGCCAAAACACAAAAAAGACCATTCACTGTGAAATTCCAGCTGCCACAGGGCGGCTGACAGATGTTTGGTTTGATTTTTTGCGGCCAAGAGAGGTGGTTTTCTTACACTGCGATGAATTCATTTTTTTTCTCTTTTTGTCCGGAACTTCATCCTGAGCAACAAATTTCATAAGTGCCTCTCTCCTTGAACCAGCCTTGCAAAGATATTTCACGGCTTCTCGTCTTTCAGGATCCTCGTTACATTGATTGGATGACTTTTTACGGCTCCGCTTATTCGCCTTAGAATTATCACGCGAGGTATGAAATTTATCTGCAAAATTCAACTAAAGCTCATTAAACAAACAAATCATTCATAGAATAATGTTGAAAAAAGGATATTTAGCAAAAGTATGTTCATCTACCTGAAGCATCATCAAGAGGGGAGGTAGGCGGAGGAGAAGGCAGAGATAATGAACAACCACCAGCATTCTCTCTAAAATCAACAGCTTCCTCACAGTCATAGTTATTATCAAGACTAGCATTCTCACCATATGATCTTCCATCAAACATGGCACGACCATCAAAGGTGACCCTGTTGCTGAACAACTTTTGGGTTTCAACATCTTTAGAGCTGCTATGGAAATAAATGTCTGCCTGACTTGAACCATGGAGAAATTGTCCACAGTTATGAGTAGCGTCTCTAGTTTCATTTGTTTCTAAACAAGCAACTTCTTCTGGACAAAAATAATCAACCGAAGGCTCAGAACATCCTTTGGATTCAACAGCACCACCCCTTTCAGTATTTGGAATTAAAATAGGATTCGATTTAGATATGCCATCACCAACGTCTAAAACAGACGTAGGAGATGTACTCGTGATATTTGGATCCAAGCCTTGTTTTTCAGATTCCATAAAACTAGAAAACCATGGAGTGCCCTGTCGTGCATAAAACAGTATGTATGCTTCCTGAGACAGTACAGAGTCTCCTGATACCTCAGTAACCTGAAGAAAAAACCCAGATAATACATGTTTAACTTCAGAACGAACATAAACCAACACAATAACTACACAAGCACAAACCACATGCAAAAGAAACTTCAGAAGAAACCAAGTTTATCAAGCTATGAAAGTCTGAATCTTGGATGGATAACACAGAACCTTAACCAGAGTTCAACCTAGCAATTCTATATGCTCATATAGGAATAAGGAAGGTATTATGAACTAAAAACAAAACTATCTACTGTAGTATCACTTAACAGTAGGCAACAACTGTTTATGGAACATATCAAACCAAAAGGCATGAACCGACAAAAGCCAAATAGATTTGATAAACTTAATAACATAATTGCAAATTAATTATCTTGTACCATGAAGAAACATTAGGAAGACACTCTAAAACTTTATCATTAAACAGATAAGCAATATTTTTAAAAACATATAAAGTGAAAAACAACAATACCATAGAATCATCCAACTTGTGCCATGTGTCTGAACCAGAGCGAACAAAGCAGAAGTAATGCCCTGAAGTAGAAGAAAATCCAGTATGCACAACAACGGCATATAAATCATACTTCAACAGTACCTACCAACATAAAATGAGTCAGAACACAGAATTCAAAAGGGAAACAAAATGAGTCAGACAACAGAATTAACATGCAAATATCTTGTAAAACGTAAGTTCAGTTAAAAAATCACAACTCACATCGTTGTTTTGATTAGAAATGGTGTAAGGCTGCAAATCTAACTCCAATGGGAAATCAATATGCTTGTCAATCTTTTCAACAAGGATCCCATCTGTCTTAAATCTCTTTAAATGAAATGCTGCCACTGATGGTGTCTTATCCAACATAAGCTGCTTCTCCATGGACACTTCGTCTTTGCAGCTATCACATCTAAAGTTTGCATCAATGTTTTCCACCTGAGTAAATGATTCAAGAGCACTTGGAAGAGAATCTACATTTTCTATCTCTAAACTCATGTCAATTAATGGCTCATATGTATCAGAAGTGCGACCACAGCTACAACATTGAAGCTGAAACATAAACACAATGACCATATAACTATAAGCAATTTAGCAAACACAACACTGTTAATTGAAACCAAAACACAAATACCAGGAAAAGATAACTTAGCAAACACAACAAGATAGATCATAAAGGAGCCAAAAACCAAAATGTTTAACAATGCACTCAGTGTCATACTCTGCTAATGAGACGACCTCCAAATACTTTCTGTACAAGATTATCATCTTCAAAATTTATATCGGTCTTCTTCAAATCTAGGAAACACCTTTCCAGTTTATCTAAGGCAAACTGCATAAATTCATGGGCATCCTCCTGCTGATATCTTCTAAATGCAGAAGAAAAATCTGTTATGGCTATAGTTATGGATCACAACAACAATTAGTGAAAAATAAACCAATCTTGCAATATTTAAAGGTTATATTCCACAGGCCAATGATGCAAAAATCACTACTATCCTTAATTCTTCCAATAAAGTCATGGGTCCTTGATTCATTGGACACAGGTGCACATTAGTCGGTAAACTAGTTAAACAATAATCATGGAAGTCATAAAATAAGGATACAGCTCAAATTGTTCACAAAATTCAAGGGTGAAATAGTCCGTCCAGAAGCAGCTAAGGATCTTTCAAACTGGTCACGGAAAGTGCAGATAACACAGAAGCCATCCATATGACCTGAACTTCAATTCAAATAATCAAAATTTACACAAGAGAAATAGATAAAACACTCAAACTGTACACGTAATAGCAAGGAGCAAACAACTGTAAAGGCGCTGCTTTGCAAATTTCAATCCAAAAAATAATTCACCCACTCACTCAGTCAACTACAAAAGTAATGAATAAACATCTGATCATCAGAAACGCCCATGTCCCAAAAACACGACGGACCACCCAATAAACTAATATAAACACGTGTAAACAACACCAAAGTTAAAATTAAAACAAGCATAACTCACCAGCACAAGGGAAATTATGAGTACACGCACGAATACCCTGCACTAGAGGCACCGTATGTGTAAAGCATTGCAGAATAGCATTAAGAAAGCATGTATTGCCAAGATTTGAAAGTCCTGCTCCCTGATAAACAGAACACATTATCATCAATATAAACATTTAGAGAAAAAATCATCAAAAAAATAAATAAAGCCAAAGAAACACAACAAGGATCACAACCATGTTAGAAAGCCCAAATTCATATGCAGATTCTGCACCCATTGAATCATCATTCTCATCTAAAAGCCAGTTCCCTTGGGTAGCAACCCACGATTCCGGCGCCACCGCAGAGACGGGTGAACACGAAGCCAACAGCAAAGTCGAATTGTTGTTGAGTTGCTGGAACTGTGAGGGCATATTGGCATCCTCTTGGGCGGCAACTTCACAACAAACACCGTAATCCGCAGGTACCGTAGATTCACCGACGGCCGATAACTGACCGCAATCACCGCAACAATCACCAACAGAATCGGATGAGCATAGGGTTTCAGAAAGGAAATTTGGTGGGGGAGAAACCTCCATTGGCCCCTCTGCGGATTTAGGGGGTGCAGAGAGTGAGAAACACATTGAATTTAGCGACCAGGCGTTACTTTAGGGTTGAAAAAATTGGGGTTTTAATGATGTTGAACAGTTGAACAATGAATAAGATAGAAGGGAGGCCTTTCAACTGGAAAATTTAGGGGGGAAATTTGGATTATAAATTAAAGATAACAAATTGGGGAAGCGGGGTTTGGAGTTAGGGTTTTGAGACGAGGAAGAAGAGGAGGGAAGGTGAAAAGTATTTGAAATGAGAGGGAAAAAGGGTTCAATGTTTTGGGAATTTTGGCACCAAAATCATTTTGGTGAAAGTGACATTCCCAGGCATGCTCTCTGATACTGTGTCTACAGTTCTTAGTTTTTGTTTCGAAGACATTACTAAACCAACACTTTTCTTCGTCCTAATTATAACCCTAATCCTGAGTTATTGATTTATAATAATATGAATTTATAATTAATGATTAATTGACTGTCAAAGTACATTGCATAAGAAAATTTAATGCATTTATTAAATAAAATTACATAAAAATGATAGTAACTGTTTTTATATTTAAAATATAATAAATATTTTTAATAAAAAGGTTATTTTATATTATTTATCTTTATATACCCAATAAAATTTTCAACATTATTATGATATTTACTTTCTACTAAAATAATAGTTAAGTTAAAAAGAAATATTATTAGAAGATACAGTCCAAATATGTTAATAATAATATTGAATTTGATATGAGTTTGGACTATTAATTAGTTGATATTTTGAAATAATTTAATTGCACTTCTTTTTCAAACTAGGGATTGAAATATAATTCTTAGGTAAAAACAAAATTATGTGATTTTTTAAATAAATATAATTAAAAATTTCTTAAACAATTCTCTAAAACAAAAAATCTTACAAAAAAACACAATTTATTAACAATGAACTACTATGATTTAAAATGTTTTCCATGTATCTAGCTTTGTGTTAAGAGATTATGATAATGGAAAAAGATACTTGTTATCTAAATCTTGTGATTTTAACTGTTTTTCATGCATCTAATGTCATGCACTAACAGATTACGATAATGAAAAAATAAATGTTTTTATTATCTAAATTTTATCTTATTCTTTTTTCTGTTTCACTGGAAAAAACATATCATTATTATCTGAGTTTTATCTTCTTTATTGTTTTTCGTTAACTACTATGGTTTAAAATATTTTCCCACAAATTTATGGAGCTATTTTAAAATGAATAAATTCATGAAGTTCCTTATTTTATGCAGTACCAAATATTTGAAATTCTTATTATATAAATTCGTAAAATCCAAATTACAAAATTTTTATTATAAAATGATAAGTGATAAAAAGAATGTTACTCTTAAATTTATTCTTTTTAGTTTGAACTCAATTTATACTAGTTAAAAATCAAATTGAGGACCTCAAGCATGAGGAAAAATTGTTTAATGTTTTGTTTATTTTTATTTTCCTTTAACCTTTTTATAGTTTATGTAAGGAAGTTTGTTTTAAGAATTTTTATGCAAGTTTTAAGCATGATTTTTTCTCTTAAATGACAAATATTTTAAGAATTACTGTATTTTTATAAGTTATTATATTGAGTTGCATATCCTATTTTAACCTCACATAATGTCTATTGATTTTATTTTTAATTTATTTTTTGACCATACTTCTTAATTTAAATTAAAGTTTAGTTTAACTAAGCAACTTGTTTAAAAAGTTTATTTCTTAGAGTTGAAACCGTTTATTTCTTTATCTTGTACTTATGCACTTTATTTTCTTACCAAAATATCTATTTTAATATGTCACTTTTATCTTTATTTTTAAATCAAAATTAATATATTTTTAAAAATATTCTATATATAAAACTTAAAATACCTGTCTTGCATAAAAGCAGTTTTGGGATTTACATTTTTGTTTTTTCATCAATAATGTTTTCTACTACCTCTTAAATTTTAATTTTTTTCATCCAATTACATAATTAACGGTGAGAAAAAAAATGAAAAATATACATCTTCAAGTGAAAAGTAAATAAAATTTAATATTTATATAAGTATAAAAAAATAATATAATTATTTTTAAGTTGTTAAAATAGTTTTTAATAAAAGGATAATTTTTTAAAATAATATCTTTTTTTTATTTTCAACACTTTTTTATATATAAGAGAGGAAAGTAAATATACGCGTTATCACTTGTCATTTTTATTATTATGAAAAAAAATTACTTTCTATTATTTATTTATTAATATTTTTTATTTTTTATTTATTATTCAAACGAGTAATCAAAATTTTCAATCTACAATGAATTGAATAGCAAGTGTTCTTTCAAACTGAGGGATTAAAAAATCACAAAATAAAAAAAAATTGTATTTTTTATTATACAATTATTTATATTAATTTCTTTTTTGAAAAAAAATAATAAAATACAATTAACATTTCCTAAACAAATCCATGAATAATATGCACAGGAATGAACAATTTCCTACTGTAAATTTGAATATTTCCATATATCTAGTTCCATGCATTAACAAAATATTATATTAAAAAATAAGGTTATCACCCTTTACATAACTAAAATTGTTCTTCTTCAAAACTCAGACTTGAAATATCCATCATATTAAAGTCATAATATTAATTTAAAATTTTTGCTACATCTATATATTTTAATTTATTTTTAATATTTAAACAAATATCAATAGTAAAAAATAATATTGTATTTTTATTAATATAAACTATATATAGTTTATATGTTTCTAAACAGTTATTTATTATAGATTTTAATTATAACAGTGTATATATTTAAAAGTATATATTTATTACAAACTTCAATTAAATAAATTTAATATATATCTTATACATAGCACAAATTAAAATGCATATGTTATCAATTATTTAAGTAAGAACAATGGTTAATATAACTTAATATGACTCCTAATTTATTATAATTTTTTATAGATAATAAAATTTTATTTTTTTAATAAGTAGAATGCAAAAAAAATATTATATGGAAGAAATTATAATTCTTTATTATTATTTTTATAAACTAAAGCACAAATTATTTTAATTAATTTTTTTATTTAAAAATTATTATTTAATATGATAAATTGTTTACTTTTTTATATTTACTTTATTAAATAATTTATAAAATTAAATAAAACAAAATAAATTAGAAGAGAATAGAAAAAAATTGGTTTTTCTAATTTATTAAAAAATATATAATAATAATTTATTAATAAATTATTTTAAAATAATATATATATATATATATATATTTGTAAAATTAAATAAAAAAACTCATATTAAATTTGTCATTAAAAGAGTTGAGGTGAGACATCAATCTTAATTATAAACAAATTTTAGAAACTTCCAAACAATAATTATTGTTTGTAAATAAGATTTGTCTCATTAACTCTATCTTCATTATTATTGTTCTTCCTGTCATTTTATAAAATCGTCTACTAGAAAAAGAGATCAAGAGTATTAAATTTTGTTTTTTAATGGGGAGTTGAAAAATATATATTTGACTTTAACTTTTATCTTAAACTTTCCTTTATTTATTTTTTTAATTGATGATCGAAACACCTTTTTAAAAAAACAATATTATTATTATTTATCAATAATTATATGTCGCACTATTATGTTACACTCAAAACAAAGGTGGTTGACAACTATGCCAAATTTAGTGGATATTGTATGTACAGAACTTGTAGTCTTAGCTTATTCTATCCTGAAGATCTGTTATCAAATTAGAGGCTAAGAAACTGAGTTTTTTTCCAGTCTCTCCAGCAAGATTTTTAAGAGAAGAAATGTCTTCATGAGCCTACAAAACAACATAAGACAGGAGAAAAAATGTCATGTCAAACATTATTAGTAACATGAACAAACGAAAAGTTTCTAGATCCAAAAACATACATAGGAAGATAGTCGATTAAGAATGTCATTAGCACTAAGATCAATGGAAGGGTTATTTGATGAGTTTCCAAAAAGATCTGCACTAGAAATGGAAGTTGAAGCCTGAAAATAGAAAAATGTACATGTAATGTCGTATCTCACATATAGCAGAAAAAAATAAATTAGTGTTAATATCTTATTATCTATAGCAAAATAAGATTAGTTTAACTCATTAAAGAAAACATTAAGAAACTTTCCATCAATAAACCTGATTTACAATAGGGAATTGTGACAATAGAGGAAGAATTTTGTGAAGATTGTTCATAAATAAATATTGGCTTGTGTTAGATTATTTATTCTAATAATGATTTCCAACAATGTGATTACAATCTAGAAATATGGCATGAAAAGAATTAATGACATGAGTTCTTTCTAACGTTAGACTGTTTTTTTAAGATTGTTTTGAAAAAAAAATCTGGGACATCTTCAGTTAAAATTTAATCTTCACAATAATTTTTTAAAAATAACTTTTTGTCAATATCAATAGTCACATTCCAGATATGTTATTATGTATGATGACAATAAAAAATTAGATGAGATGAAAAGTAAATGATCCAATTTTAATTTTGTTCCATTTCCATAACAAGGTAATAAATGTGCATGATGTACCTAAAATGTGTATATTCAAACTATATATGTTTGAATAAGTTATAATAAAGAGGACACCTACTGAAAATTTTGACAAAGTAACTTGTGAATCATTTGCATCTTTGTTTTGATCTCCAAAAAATTGAGACGAAGAAATTGATTTAGCATTTGCGAACTTCCTTCTAGCTTCATCGGACTCTTGAATCTGGTTGGGGTGACACTAAACAAAAAGTAAGAACCAAATTAAAATAAATCTAACCCAAAACATACGCAACTTATTATATAGATGATTAATCATTCTTCTCTGAGGTCAAATGACATAATTATACAAAAATTATGTTTGGTGAAAAATAACATAATAGAATTCTGAAACTTGAGAAATTAGCTAAAAGTACACAAAAGCATGATCTTAAAATAATTTAAACATACTTTTTATGCAAATTTCCTATTGTTACTTGATAATAAAACAATAATAAGTCAGCAAAATAGCATAATCGCGAGAAAAGTTTAGAAAAATGCTTAAATATAGTTTGAAATAATTGTAAAACATTAAGGAAATTTAAATAAATAGTTAAATTTTATCATTTGTGTATTGTTTCAACAGAAACTAATGAAACGAAATGATTAGGAACATTTCGAAATTTAAATACTTTCTTTTCTTCTAGTGACAAAGATAAAACATGCATGCTACATTGTTCCCTTCCACATGAGTTTGGTGATTTGCTATTTCTATATATACATTTTGTTAAATATTTGTAATTAAATAAATACTAGATGTTAATCTTCAAACAATAGTTAAATAATTGAAGTTAATTAAACGAAACTATGATATTATTATACACACGCACACGCACACGTAAACTTTGTAAGAATGTGACTTACTTTCACTTTTGGGGAATTTGGCCCAAATTCATTTGGAAAACTACTATCCATTCCGAAGTCTGCAAAGAAGCTTGATGAATCTGGTAAGGACACATGCCTAACCAACTGTTTACCCTTCCCTTCAGAATTCAAATCAGATGAGACATTTTCTGAATACTCAAATCGAGACGTCGATAGTGACCTTGGAAGTAAATCGTTGTTTGGTAGAGAAGTAACAAGACTTGGTGGTTCTTCTGGTTTTTGTTCGTAGAGAGATTCACAGGACTGCATAAGCATAATTTTAAATAAAAATAAAAATAACATATCTTTAAATTAGACGAGATTGATATCAACCAACAAACACAACATATTTCTTCAAATATAAATCCAAATAAAATTGCATACCTTTCTAGTAAGCTTTTTAGCACCAAGTCCCGCAGATCTCCCAGTTTTTTTAACAACAATTGGTTTTTTGACAGAATTATAACCGAATGTGTGTGAAGCTTTAGGTGGAGAAGTGCTCTCTGGAATTTCAGGTTTACGCAAAGCATTTTCTTTTGGTAATTCATCAGTATTTTCTTGAGGAAGTTCTCCAGCAACTTGTTCAAACTGAGAATCAGTAGGTGATGATGGTGAATCTGTCTCCATACTTTTAGCTACTTCTTTTAAAAGAATTTTTCTATATAAATCTGCAGCTCTTGATGTATATTTGGTCTCGATTTTACCACCATCTGTCCAACCATGCTGCTTGAAGAAGAATCGTGCACGATTGTTTCCTCCAAAGGTCATAGTTTTTAATTGCTCCGGACTCCATAAGTCTAAAGTTGTAGATCTACAAAACAAACATAACTAATGACTAACTCATCTTCCATCCCATCATTTTGTTTCTCTCTACTCCTTCCAACCTTTTTAACAAAATAATAAAGAAGAAAAAAAGGAATTAAAAACAACTTAGATGATATAACTTAATTAATTTCATTATGTGATACATTTGCTAAGCACTTAAAAACAACTCAACAAATTCATAATGTGTGTAAAAATATGAATCATGTTACTTTTCTTAGTGTTTGTCATATACCCATACAAAATACCATTTAGTGTCCAATATTACACTAGCCTCCCCTATTATATAAATTCACAAAAAATTGTTTTATTGTTCATTTTTTCTCACACAAATACACTCCTTAAATACTAACCTCTAGACATGATTTCCATAAATGCTAATATAATATTGTTTTCTTATTTTATTTATTTACTATAAAAGTATACTTTGGTTTTAATGATTCTACTTTAATTACATTTATAAAATATCAATTCAATTTCTCAACCCTAGATCCTCATTTCATGTAATTAACAACTAACAACTCAAGGAACATCATCCTCGTAATCCTATCTATCTACCACAAATTATACTTATTCAATAACGCAACAATAAAATTACTTGCATAAAGTTAAGCTTAAGGGAATTTCACAAAATACCAAGTTGAAATACACTTCAAATAATATAAACCACGACAAACACCATATTGTTAATTCCTTTTAACAATTCATATACTATTTGTTGTTACCATATTTTCAAATGTTTCATGGAACAAAAGCATCAAGCTATGATGATTCAATTTCATCAATAAGAGTTTGATGCCATACAACTTAGCCAATATATATTCTCAAGCTACGGCAAATATTAAACAGAGAACATGACGTCGGAATATGTAGTTGCGAATACATGAAAGAACAGTGAAAATGATTATAACTTGCCTGACAAAACTGATATGGACACCAAGACTACGATGTGCAGCAGAGCAATCGATGCAGAGGAAGATGCCATAGGTGACGGAGGCCCAAGTTGGATTTTTTGCGTTACAATCGAAGCACATCTACAACACAGTGCACATAAGAATGTGACGTAGAAACAGGTAACAAGAATAAGAAATGAAATGGGAAATGATGAACCTTGTTTTCAGACTTTGCCTTGAGTTTCCGAAACACGATGTTCTTGTCATTGAAATTAAAAGCATCTGAGGCCATGAGGGCGTGATAAAGGAATGAAAAAAAAAATGACGATGCAAATGGGTATTTAGACAAGTGGTTTATTTATGGAATGGATTAATTGGGGTTGTGACTTTCTCAAGTAGAGGTGTTTGTCTGGTTTTGGTGAATGCACCATATACCGTTCCTTCCTTTTTCGAGCAAAAATAACCCATCATTTTTATTCTTATTTCTTCTACTTTTTTCTCTTACTCAAAAATAAATAATACATTTTTTTATTCAATGACAAAATGACGTGAATATAGATTTCATGGCTTCATAATAGACATGCATTATTTGTTAGGGTAGAGTTATTGGATTTAGTTTTTTCAGTGGTTTAATAATGGATTAATTGTTTAGCCTTTATTTGATTGAGAAAGGACTTCAAGGAATGAAAAAAAATGGTTTGGATTAAAAAACTAAGAAGAAATTTAAAAAATATATATAATTGATTTAATTAATTTAAATAATAAAAATAATGTATAAATTATATAATTTAATAAATTATCACACTATCTTTATATTAAATATTTAATTTTCGTATATACATTATCCAAAAGAATGATAATTTAATAATTTTATAACTATATATAATCTTCCCATAAATCTAGTTACTTATCAGAGGATTATCTCTCAACAATAGATCATCTTCTCCCTTCTATTCACTGCAAGTTGATCCTCTTTCAAACCGCTTCAAATATCAGTCTTTGTAAACCTTGCAAATAGAGACTTAATATTTTATTTGCTACTCTGGTAATAATTTAAAGTATAATTGCTAAAACTTTGATAATTAAGATTATTAATTAATTATAATTATAATTCAGACACTAATTTAATTAAAATAATTTATAATTTAGTTAATACAATAATTAATGTTTACTGTTTTCTAAAGTTTATTAATTTTTTTAATAATAATAAAATCATATTTGTATTATAAAATTTAAAGATACCTATCACATAGTATTCATATGAATAGATTAGAGAGTTAATAAAAAAAAGTTATAAATCATAATAAACCTCAGCAAAAATGATAATAAAATTTAACAATTTTTTTAAGTGTAAACGCTCTTTAGAATAATCATATAAAAATATACGTGTTCCTATTTTATTTTTAAACTTTTATTTATTTGTTATGGATGGGTGGAAACATTTATTATAAAAACTATCTTTTACAACTTTTTGAATCATCTGTACATCAAATCAACCTTCTTCTTTTTTATCTTATAAAAAAAGTGTAATCATCTGTTTATTTAATCAAACTTTATATATATATATATATAAAAGTTGAATATGTGTTAATTACAAATTACATAAATTGATTTTTCATAATAAAAGTTTGTCTCGATGAAATTGGTGGTTTATAACATTGTTATGACCTCATTTTTTATCATAGAGGATAATAAATAAACTTATAATATTATTCTTAGACATTCCAATGGAGATAGTTTAAAAAGAAAGTAGTGGCAGATTAGAGAAAAATGTAAACATTTTTTATATTATTTTATATTTATGAATGTGAATGGGAAATGTATTCTGTTGTACACAATTAATATAAAAATAATATAAATATAAATGAATATATATTATTTATAAAAAATCAAATATCACATAAATAAATAAATAAGAGTATTCTTATTTTTTTATATTTATATATTAAAAAAATTCATCATTTTACAAGAAAGTTTGAAAAAGTGTTGAAATAAACATAAAATTATGATCTTTAACTATCATTGATATTTATATGTCAAATTACAGTAAACTACTCATAACTAAGTTGTTTACCAATAAAATAACAGTAAGTTTTTTTACAACTGATATAAAAAAGTTTTGAAATTTTTAAAATGTTTTGTTTTATAATTAGTAATATAGCTGATATAATATATATTTTTAATATCGATTGACAATTAATATTAAAAATTATAGTTTTATTATACATCTATATTAATTTCATAACATATATAAAATTGAAAAAAATAATGAATGTAAAAAACTTTTTTTAATAACTAAATAGAATATAATCAATGTTACATCATATTCCAACTATTATCCTTGTTTTAAGAATTTACATATACAACTAATGTGAAGGAAAGTATAAATTTTTTATTCATATTTCAACTAGTATTCTTCATTTAAGAATTTACATATATAACTAATGTGAAGTAAAGCATAAATTTTAAATTCTACATCTTAGAGATGTGACATATGTTTTTTGTTTTAATATTATATTAATATTACTGTAAAAAAACTTCAGTAACCAAGTTTTTCTCATGCATAGTAAATTTTTTTCTTATATATGCATACTGAAACGGGAGGAGAAGAATCAAAATTTTCCTCTCATCCTTCTTCTTCTTTTGTCTAAATTCTAAGCAACGATAATCTACTCCTGTAGGATCTGATGAAATAGGAGAGAAGTTGAATTAAGTAGGAAAAGTTTCGGTAGAAATACCATATAAGATAAAGGGAAGTTTAATTCATTCAATATATAAAATTGAATTGTTGGGTACTCTGTGAATACCTATGAATAAGGAATAGGAGTAGATATATGAATTATTTGAATGTCTGCTTTTGAAGAATTTCTGATTTTGGATGCACTGTTCATGGTTTGAAAGTTTTTAAAATTCTTAAAATTAAGGATGAATTATATGGTAAAATTGTTGTTTTCAACTTAAATTATATATAATTCATGTTTAATTTGAATTTGGGACTAGTTTGGTTGTCTAAAACTGAGTAATTTAAAATATGTCAAAATCTACAAAATTTGTTACTGTTACTTGCGCGAGGAAGAAGAAAGGGACATGAAAGGAATTTTTGAAAATGTCTAAGGGTAAAATAGTCATTTTCAGGATATGGAAGGAATTTTTGAAAAAGTTCAAAGGTAAAATAGTCATTTTCGGGACATAGAATGAATTTTTGAAAATGTCCAAGAGTAAAATAGTCCTTTAGGGACATACATGGAATTTTCGGAAAAGATTAAGGGCAAAATAGTAATTTAATGATTTTGAAAAAGATTTCGGAAAAGATTTTGAAAATGATTTCGGAAATGATTTTGGAAGTGATTTCGAGAAAAAAAAATAAAAAAAAATATATATATATATATATATATGTATGTATGTATGTATGTATATTTAAAATATAGAATGAATGTAGCAGTTTTAAAGATTCTGTAGTGTGTTGTAACGTGTGTGAGTCAGACTGAGTCTAAGGGTTGATGCCCATAATCAGTCATGAGATGTTATGTATTGGCTAGACTGAGTCGGAGGGTTGGTGCCCAGAATCAGTCAAGTACTATTATTTATTGACTTGAATGAGCCGTGAGGACAGGTGGTCCAGAATCCGGCAAATGTGAATGATTTTTGTTGTGTTTGAATGGTACCCGGGGTGGTACAGAGTACTTTAGTGTAATAACTATGTCGGAGAATTCTGAATGAGGTCCCAAACTTCACTGATTGGTCGGGTCAGGTAGACTACAAGATCAGGTCGTGAGAAGTCGATGAGGGATGACTGGTGGCGCGCTCTGAGGGGTACTCCAGTATGAGTGATGAATGGCGCCAGTAATCCTACTCTGGGTGGAGGGTGGTCAGAATGGTACTACGGGTGCCGATCACAATGTGCCCACAGATGATAGCCTTTGAGTTCGGGCATAGTTAGGGTATACTTCCGGAAGGTGTCTTAGTGTGTTGATAATTTCGTAATTGATCATAATATATAATTATTACTTCTATATCTGTTTCATTATATCGAATGATTTAATACTTACCCCTATTTTCCATGTGGATGAGACTGCGATGATCACTTTTATGTGGGAGCAGATCAGGAGTTGAGAGATGAAGATGTGACTACTGGACAGTAGGGATAGTTCAGTGGAATAGTTTCGAGGGAGCTACTTTTACATGTATAATATATAAATAAATTATGTTACTATATTTTAAGGTTCCGTTAGTAAACCGAAATTTCAATCTATGTTACAATTACAGTAATATAATTACAGTAATATAATGTAATATAGATGTCGTTATTTACTTATTTACTATTTTGCAAAAACATCATTATAGTAGCGATTTAGAGTTTAATTCACTATACATATTAAATATTTTTAAAATTTGAAACAAAACTCCTCAAAACACTATGCATATTTCAAACTAAAACTTTCGTTAAGTTTAATTCACAAAAATAATTGAATCTAAATCACAGTTCAGGTTAAAACTTTTAATTCCAGTTAATTAAACAAAAAATAGTTAAGATTAGTTTTTCTTTATAGGCAAAATGTTCCTTTAATTCAATCAAGTTTTCTTTGAATCTTTCTCCCCATCTTTCCTGTGAAAGTAAGTGAAGATTATGCTTATCCAAAATTTTGATAAGCTCTGTTGCACAATTGGGCTTTATAAACAACAAACAAACCTACCCAAAATTCAAAATGGTGACAGCTTATGACAAACAAAACAAAAATATGAGTTTTTAAATTTCATTAGGCCTTCTTGACAACAACTATGATGCTTCACAGTTAGAAACATAGCTTTCAGGGTTTTATGAAGAAAATTAAGAAGTGAATATGCAATTTTATAGTCCGAAACTGATAAAAACTATGCATTACCTCTTTCTTATCTATCCAGACTATGTTTGAACAATTTTCTTTTTTGTAGATTTTTACACACAAAAATGATAAAAAAGTTTTTTTTTTACCTAGATTAATTTGTAGAATTTTTTTTGTATAATTTATCTAATTTTTATTTTTTTTCATAAGTTAATTTCAATATAAGGAAAAACCATACTCTTTATCTTTCTTTTCTAGATTTTTTCATTAAAAAAGGGTGCATGAAGAAAAAATCTGTGCTATCTTAGGCCCTATCGTGTTGTTTATTGGAGATGGGCCATTGTTTATTGGGCCCTGATTTATTGTGCCTGTTTTATTTTAATAGTTGACGGGGAAAAATGTTGTGGGGAGTGACGACCAGTTGGCTATAAACTACACAATTAGGTGAATAGAAATTGAAGGAGAATAATTTAGTTGATAATTTGAACTGGGCGTATGTTTTATTTGAAAAAATATTTTTATTAAAATTAATTAGGTTTAAATTATTTTAATTGAAATATTTTTTTTTGTTTAAAGTCAGTGTTAAAATTGATATTTGTTTAATTCAATGCCTGAATTTACTTAAAATTGTTTCGGTTATAAATTCATTCTAAATGTTGTTTGAATTGTTAATTTAAAAATAAATATGTAGACATAGTTATCTAAATTCATATGATACTGTCCAAATAAACCCAGATCTGCAGAGAGAGAATATGTTATTCATAAGGACCATTGTCACACCAAACTTTTAATTTTTAGTTATATTATTATATCATATTTGTTGTCTCCAACTACCAACAAAAAGAGTAAGAAAAAAAAGACATCCGTCAATCTCTGAAGCAAAAGGTAGGACTACTTGTCTTAGTTTATAATCGTTACGTTAATTAACTTTTTTTATTAATATATTTATCAGAATACATAAAAATATTTTTTATAGTTTAATATATTATTTATGTTATATTTTCTTTTTCCTTATTTTTTTAATCATTCTCTTTAATTTGTTAATGCAAATAAAATATAAAATTCATTAAAATGTATAATTGTTTAATTATATGTTTCCTCAATTTTATTTTCATACTTTTCAATCATTCCGCTGACACTCTCTCTTATTAAATTCCCACTCATTGTATTTAATAACACACAAGTTTAATAATAATTTTTATATTTTAAAATTCTCATATATATATATATATATATATATATATATATATATATATTTTTTTTTCCAATTTTTTTATTAAGTTATGTTTCTTCTGGTTTCTCTTTAACGAATGTGTAAGTTAATTTTAATCTAATATAGTTATTTAAAGTTGTATGAATAAATACGTTATTTAATTTAAAATGAAATAATACACATAATTAAAAATTGATAGAAGTTATATTTTAAAAATAATAAATCTAAAATCACAACAAATAATATAATATGAAAAAAATAAGTTACAATTTAGCCTAAAATAGTATGGTTCGAATTGAGTTCAGCCACACAATTCATACTAATGGACATGGGTCGTATTTGCATCGTGTTAAATTAGATGGGATTGAAAAATTAATGTAATTTTCATTTTTATATTTCCTCTATTTCTTAATACATGTCATTTAAGCTTTAGTTATATTAAACAATAAAAATATTAAACAATAAAAATATTAATATAGGTTTTAGTTTTTTAACAGTACTTTTATCGGTTTAATGTTTTTTTCTTTGTCGAAAAGTCCCGTAATAATATATTATTATCTTTTTTTAATAAATATCATTAAAAAAATAAAAATATAATTGATATATATTATTAATATAAAATTAAATTTGACAAATATTCGATATATTAAATAAATTTTTTTGAATGACAGTTAAAAAGAAATAGAAGAAATAACATTTTTTAATCCACGTGTCCACTCAGTTGATGTTATCTATTTGTGGAGTACGGAATGCGCAAATATAACAACTATAAAATACTACTAAAAATAAATTATATTAGTGCAAAATAATACACATATAAATAAATTATATTAGTGCAATATATATATATATATATATATATATATATATATATAATTTTATTTTTTAATTAAAAAAATTAGTTATCGGTATTACTTTTATCACCTACTCGTCTATGATAAGCCCGAGCCATGACTTAAATATTTATAGAAAAGAACGGGATAAATAATTTATTAAAAAAATAATAACTTTATTCAAAAATATATTATATCATAATTATAATATGAAAAAATAATTATAATATTCATCACATTCGTATCTTTATATATTATTTTCACTAATCATAACTATTTTGGACATTTTAATATTATATTTCAAAGATAGAGATTAACCTCTATTTTTTTAAGCGGTTTATTATATCAAAATTTATTTTAATCTTAATGTCAATGTCATTTTGATTATTTTTATATATAAATTATAATTTTTGATAAATTATCATGAATGATTATATATTATAAAATATGTTATTCATCATTTTATTTATTTATTTATTACTATTTGATATTTTAATAAATATGTATATTCATTAAATTTGTAAAAGAAGTCATTATTTTAAAGTATCTCAAACCATACTAATTTATATGAATTATTTTTTATATTGAAAAATATAAAATATAAGTTTGTTGTGTTGCGCCATTTTAAACTAATTCATTTGATTTAATTTTAATAGATTTTTTTTTAATAAATTTGAAAGAACTTGTTATGTTTCGTTTTTTTTTTTTAAGTTGTTAGAACATCTTAAATGATAATTGTTTGTATCATGCTTGAATTTTCAAATAATTTTTTATTTGAGAAATGTTATATACCATAATAAGTGCTTAAATTAAATAAAAACAGAAAATTAGTTATTTAAACTTTATTAAGAAAATTTACTGTTGCTCCAATTACAAATATCTTTAATAAAATAACTATATATAAAAAAAAACTTTAAACAACTTATTATCTCACATAAAATTATTTTAATAAAAAATTGTTTAAAACATTTAATGTTTTATTTAAATATTTCTTCATGCCAAACAACATCTCGTAACATATACATTGTAGTATACTTTTGATATTACCAATATCAAATGTATTAACATGAACACAAGAAGGATTCCTATAATTAATGTTTTTTAAATTAGACCATCACATAATAGATGAAACAATAAATTCAGGATTTAAATATTCAATCAAAATATAATAAATATAATAAGTTTATTAATAATAATATATTTTATATAAAAATAATAATAAAAAATTATGTCAGATTACCAAATGTTTCAATAAAAATTATACATATAAAAAATATTAAATAATTAAAATAAATAATTATTAAAATAATATAAAAATAAAATAAAATAATTATTATTTAAAATTCACATAATTAATATGAAATAAAAAAATTAAAATATATTATATTTTTTATAAAAAAATTGATCATAATTTTTTTATCAAAGTTAATTGGAAAAAAAATCTAGTTAATTTTTTTTTTAATTTTATCCTAATTTAATTAAAATTTGATTATTTTAATTTTTCATTCAACTAATGAAATCAGTGTGACCGGAGTAAATAATTACTTAGACAATATAGTGTCGAAATCAAAGTCAGTTAGTTTTATCTTTTCCTCACTTTTATCGCTTTCTTGAGCAAAATATGTCTGAAGGTAAGTCTTTGATCTATTTATTCCTCCCTCAAAAAAAATCTTGATTACTTGATTGAATAAAAACATAAAAAATTATCATTTCTCTTTCAGGAAGTGTCTAACTTTATATTCGGTAAGTCACTTCACTTGAACGTCCACAAGTAGTTTGAGCGAAATCATTCTGGTGTTAATTCACTCCTATGTATCTCATTTGAGTGCTCCACTAATCCCTTAAACAAAGAGACTTGTCGCAACGATTTTCTTCTCTTCGAATAACCTTCTCGTTTAAATATCAGTTTTTTTATTTGAGCGCATTGTGACTTTTTAAACCACATTTTTTACTATTTTACACACCACTTAAAATATATGCAAATTCCTTGTGTACCAACCATTTTCTTTTCAATATATATGTGAAAGATTTTAAATATTCTTTAGGTGGATAAAGAAAAGAAAAGAAAAAGTGTAATATTAGAGGATGGTGTGTGAATGAAGTGAAGTTTGTGCAGTTCTTGGTGAGAATACAGCATATGATGAGCAGACAAAGCATGGAATACATTGGGCAATAAGTTATGAGTAAATTTGGTTTGCAAAAATATGATTATTTAAGATGATATTAAGTTAGTAAAGTTGTATAAATATTAAAATGGTATATATGAATAATTATTAGTATTAATAAAGCAAGTTGCAGGTGTAGGTGTGAATATTGATGGTTTAAGTAGCGACAGAATTGAATGCGTGAAGAACGTGCGGTGTGTCTTTGGGGTCCATTTGTCAAATTGCACACCACACACTGCCATTATCGACACATCATGGCTCACCTCCTCACACATCCCTTTCATATACCTCTTCTTGCCTCTTTTTCGGTTCATCCCATAACCTCAATTCTTCATCTTACCATTACTTGCAACATTATCATCTCCACTAATCACCAATTCCCAACTGTTTGGTGCCAAATCTCACTAATTGCATCTTCTAACCTTTTCTTTTTCCTCACAACACTTTCTATTCAAAAAGTTAAGTGGAGGGGGAGGTTCATCGATTGTGCAAAAGTGAAGGTTTTAGGTCATGTGGCCTTGTTAAATCAAAAGGATTTTTGTATTACTATTTATTTTTATACAATTTTAACCATGACCAATTATTTAATTCATGGATTACTTTTCCTTCAAGCTTATTTAAATCAATTAACACACCTGAATCAGATAAGTTTTGAAAAAACAAGATATGAGTTTATCTATTACCTATTATGGATTTTTTTTAAGGTCTAAGACGAAAGTTTCGTTTAACCTACGGGTATGTTTAAAACTTTGCTTTGATATAAAGCTTCTGAAATATTGTTTGAGTACAGTATTATTAGTCTAAATAAAATCATTAAAAAAATTAATTTCTTATACTATTTTGAGACGCATATATGTAGTCATATTTATATATAATTTTGTATACAAAATATATGATACTAATTTTTATTTTATTTTTCATTACACTTTTAAATAAATATTAATAAAAAATTAATATGTAATAACAATTTTGACTATTCCAATCCATCCAATATAATAAATGGGATAGTATACACTTTTGTAATCAAACAAACAATACTTATGTTGATTTAAATTTTAACCAACATAAAAAAAAATATTACAACGATTTGATATAAACAAAAAATTTACAAGATTAAAAATACAATAACATTTTACACTTTCACTTTCACTCTAATTTGATTCGTTGTATTATCTTCTTTTTCCTATAGCACTTTAGATATGTTTCTTCTTTCATTTCAGGTTTCTTCTTATTGACTACTCATGTTCGTTACTTCATACCTGAATTCTTTCGGTTTTAAGCTTTCTCTAGATAAGTTTTATTCATATTTTAGTATGGGTGAGTCCCTTTCTTTTGAAGTTTCTACAGAACATAAATGCTTATAAATTTAACTTTTATTTTGATTATTTAAAATTTGTATATTTATTTCGGTTCATTACTTGTGTTTTTTTAGATAAATATATAGATAGAAAATTGCATAAGGGAGTTGATGTATATCTAAGAAACAACATTATGGGAAATATATATATATATATATATATATATATATATATATATATATATATATATATTTTTTTTTAATTATATTTAGATACAATATAGTAAATTTTACTTGGTCGATCATTATAAATTCTAAACTTGGGATTATTTTACAATTGACATAAAAAGGTTATAGAAAAAGTGTTCTCTACAAGTATAAACTAATTTCTCTATACTCCTATTAGTTTAAATTTTAGTAAGTTAATATATTTAATAATTTTTAAAAAATATATGTCTTTAATAAATATGTTTTTAATAATTTTAATAAATATATTAATCTCTAGAAGATTAATATGTTTAATAAATATCTTTTTAATATATTATAACAAACTTAATATGAAAATAAAATTACAAACAAAAAATATTATTCTATATTTGATTAAAAAGTCTTGTGCATTAGACCTAACTGATATTTTTAATAATACAAAACATTAATTTCCTAATTAAATAGATTTGCATAAAAGTTTAATTACGAGCCATTTTTCTCAAAAACGAGACATGGAGGCACAAATTAAATTATATGAAAGTGAGGCAGCATTGAAGAGAATTAAAAAAATTTAGCCCGCTGGTCCTACATTTTCTTAAATTGTCGTACTTCGATTTGATGTATGTATGTTGTCACACGGATAGCATATGGTCCTCTGATTAAGTCGTGGCGGAGTTTTTTCTTGGTGTGGTGTGATTCCTAATTTATATTAGGATTTATGAATTTTATATTTAAAATTTAATAATGATTAAATATATATTTATATATTGAAATTTTTATTTTTTTATATTTATTTATTATTTGATTTTTTTAAATCAATATCAAAATCTCGCCTGCAAATTATAATTACTCTCTGGTTATTCTATGATACCGAGATATTTTTGAAAGAGGTTCATACTTATTATTTTTAAAGTTTAAGAGTGATTACTCTCTCTTTTTTCATAATCTTCCACTAATTTGTTGTTTATATATGTTTTTATTATGATGTTAAAAAATCCTAAACCACTTTATTGCAAAATATATATATATATATATATATATATATATATATATATATATATATATATATATATATTAAGTTTCACTATTTTACATTGAAACTTAAAAAAAAAATGAAAAAAGAACATAAGGAGTATAATCATGGTACTGTATTGTCTCATTTGTGAGTCACCGAGGGCTCGTGCGTGGTCGGAGTTTGGTATTATATATGTTGAGTGGTGGTGGGAACTTTTGATTCGCGCATTTGAACATATTGTAGGGAACCATTAACACCCTTCACGTGGTTGACCATTTCTCTATAGCACCCAAATTTTCTTGTTACTTTCTCTCTTCAACCTCATCCTTTCAATTCAACCCTCTTCCCCATATGTTCGTACTAAATCAAACGTGGGGGGACATCCAATATCACCATTCATCCGTCAAACTATTTCCAATTCACCGTCCACAATCACACTATGCATGTTTCAATTATAAGTTATACATCACTTCTCTTTTTATAGTTTCTGTCTTCGTTTATTAAAGAAAAAAAATAAAACAAAGCATACAACTTAATCATGTTACAGTAACAACAGACATAGCTTGGTAAGTTTCAAGACTCAAACATCAAACTTAGGACTAGAGGACAAACCTTTCCTGACAGCCATTCCTGAAAGAAGATGACGATCCAGAAGTGGATATTTTACATAATTGGTGCAACATAGCTTCTTTCAAGAACTTCGAATCATTTACCAAAATAACACAGATATTTTCTTTTGATAATTTTATATTCGTATTACTATGCTAGGCCAACTTGCACAATCGCATTAATGATACTGCAATGGTGTCCGGTGACAGCCAGAGTTGTTTTCAGTTGTCACAGGTCCTACGGTGGAGAGATCTCCTTATTAGGGAGACTTTATAAGGTACGAGTTCTCCAATTTCTTGAGCTAGCTTTTGAGGAATGGTTCCCCTTCTTAACTTTATGGTTGTTACAATGGTGCTTTTATTGAGAGTCAGTCAACTCAAGAAGGACTATCCACGGAGGGTTCTAACTAGTAAGAAGGCCGAGTAAAGTGTCAGTGAGTGAAGTATCGTAGAGTGCAGAAAAGGCCGAGTAAAATGTCAGTGAGTGAAGTGTCGTGGAGTGTAACCATTGAGTGAAATATCGTGGAGTACAGAAAAGGCCGAGTAAAATGTCAGTGAGTAAAGTGTCGTGAAGTACAGTCATTGAGTGAAGTATCGTGGAGTATAAAAAAGACCAAGTAAAATGTCAATGAGTGAAGTGTCGTAAAATACAGTCATTGAATGAAGTATCGTGAAGTACAGAAAAGGCCAAATAAAATATCAGTGAGTGAAGTGTCGTGGAGTGCAACCATCGACCACACTGAATTTCAAACCGAGTGATATTGTCACAAATTTCACATTAGACCTTTTAAAGGATGTTTCCCTCCTTAAAGCATATTAAACACACACAAACAGTCATTTTATCTAATTAGCTTCTTGTTCATCGGTTACGAAAGACTAAGGCTTTGTTTGGTTGAAGTGATTTGAGAGAGTGGAAATGAGAGAGTGGAAAAGGAGGGATTTGAAGAGAAATGGAGATAAAGTTAAAGTTGTTTGGATGAATGAAAAGTGAAAGGAAAGTTTATGGGAAATTGTGAATGATTTGATTGATATGAGATATAAAAATTATAATTTTAATTGATTAATTTAAAAAATTACCATTTTACCCTTTGTATAAAATAAGGTTCAAATGATTATAAATATAATTTTTTAATTAATTATCCATATTTTAACATTGATTATATATTTAAAAGAAAAAATAAATTTAAAAGTGTTTGTAATTGGAAACAAATTTAAAAAATTAACTTTTTTTAGATAGTTATTAAAAATTATATAAATAAACAATTACAAAATTATGTACATTGAATATCCATATTCAAATAATGTTGACATATTAAATAAATTATTTGACTAATAATTAAATAATTATAAAATATAAAATAATAATTAATATTGACTCGATAATAACAAATAATTATGAAAACTAATAATATAATTGTACATTATTATTTAAAACAAATATAAAATACAGTGAAAATAGAATAATAATTAAAGGAAAGATTACTAAAATTATAAATATATGCACACTAATTATAACCGCTATTACAGTTCTTGGAAACTTCTACAACCACCTACCAAATGCAGAAAACTTGTACCCAAATTCCAGGTACAACACAATACAAAAGAATTAACAAGTAATTGAAAAGAAGAGACTTAGAAAGCTCAAACCGGATTACGCTAATCCAATGTAAGTTTCTTCTTTTAAAGAATGCAATATGCCTCAAGAAAGATTTTCAAAAAGCTTCACAAAACAGTTGCGTATCTTTCTTGAAAAGGATGCTAATAGTTGCTTGAATTTGATTGCCTAGGATGTGTAAAAACTTAATGATTAAAAAGTTCCAAGCAACTCGATTTTAAAGAGTAATTTCAAAACTGCCTGCATTAATTAATTTGTTGAAAGTTTGTTTTAATCATTGAAATAGATTGTTATAATCTGTTAAAAGTCTTTTCAACCCATTAATGCGTTCTTGTTTCTTTATCAAAATTGTTTTAGTTGATACAACCACGTTTATATCAGTTAAAACATTTTACAAACATTTTCTAAGTGTGATTCAATCAATTGATTTGCATTTTAATCGATTGATTTACTTTAAAACTTTCTTATAAAACTTTTCAAGTTATTTTAACTGATACAAAGAAGTTTTCAAGTCTCGGGTTGTATTTCGCTCGAGCGATTATACTTTCGCTCGAGCGAAAAACGATCCTGATCGATCATTATTTGAAATGATCAATCATAATTGGAGAATATAATAGCGGTTCCTCAGTAATCGCTTATCTAAAGTAGTATATTAGATAGCGGTTAAGGTTTAACCGCTATTATAAGCTCCCTTTAAGAGCGGTTCCGATGGAACCGCTATCATATACAATCATATTTTAAGTTTCTTGAGTCTCGGGTTGTGTTTCGCTGAGCGACTATATCTCGCTCGAGCGAATTTTGATTCTGATCGATTATATTTTCGAAATGATCGATCATATTTGATAATTTTTTCAAATAATTAATTCTAATCGATTATTTTTCTAAATTATTGATTAGAATTGATTAGTTTTTCAAATAATAGCTTAGAATTGATTAATTTCAAAATATATATTAAAAAATTATAATTAAAAATATAGATTATTTAAGAATATTAACTATTGTAAAGATAAAGTAGAAAATGGGAGGAGATGAGGATGATAATATAATGATAGAAGTTACAAAAATGTAGAATTGAGAAGTTTGAAACAAAAAAAATTAAGAAAATAGAGATTTAATTACACTTTTAATAAATTGAACATAATTACAATATAATTTTCTACTCGAGAATGAACAATATAATTAAGAAGATCAAGTGTAATGTTATTGATGCTAATTTTAATAATAATACAATAATATTATTTTCGAAAATGCCCATATGAATGTGAATATTTTGATTATTATTATATAAAATAATTAAAAGAATAAGGTAAATAGAAAGTAAAATGCATGGTTATACCACTTTCCTTTTAATCTATAATTAGTTAGGTATGAATCAAATGTAAAGTCTAATGTTATTGATGCTAATTTTAAGAAGATCACAAAATGTAAATTAAAATAATTACAATATAAATTTCTACTTTGAGAATGAACAATATAATTAAACTCAAAATTGAGAATACTCTTATACATTTTTGAACTCTTTTGGATAAATTTTGTTTTCCTCATTTTTGATAAAGTTAATTTTAATATTTAAAAGTATTTAACATTTTTAATTCGAAAGGTTTTTTCTAATAGCAAATTAAAAAACATAATATTCAAAAAAATATTTTAAGATTCAGATCTCGGGTTGTAATTCGCTCGAGCGATACTACTTTCGCTCGAGCGAAACAAGATCCTGATCGATCATAATTTGAAATGATCGATCATAATTGGAGGATATAATAACGGTTCCTCTGTAACCGCTATCTAAAGTGTATATTAGATAGCGGTTAAGGTTTAACCGCTATTATAAGCTCCCTATATCCAACCATTCTTGAGTCTCGGGTTGTGTTTCGCTTGAGCGATTATATCTCGCTCGAGCGAAATTTTATTCTGATCGATTAGATTTTCGAAATGATCGATCATAATTGGAGGATATAATAGCGGTTCCTCTGTAACCGCTATGTAAAATATATTAGATAGCGGTTATGGTTTAACCGCTATCTAAAATATATATTAAATAGCGGTTATGGTTTAACCACTATCTAAAATATATATTAGATAGCGGTTATGGTTTAACCGCTATCTAAAATATATATTAGATAGCGGTTTTGGTTTAACCGCTATCTAAAATATATATTAGATAGCGGTTAACCGCTATCATATGGAGAAGGGTAATTACGTCTTTTCTTATTTGATGACCTGTCTTTCTCTGCTATCGTTGCAAATTCTCTCACATTTTAAGGGTGAGCTTTTCTCCCCTCTCCCTCAAATCCGCGCCTACAAATCTTCTCAAATCACTTGCAACAAACGAATTGCATCTCTCATTTCTGTCTTCGTGAACAGTAAATCAGTTCAAACAAACACAGACTAAGTGTCAAGAAGGGAACACCGAACACCGAGGAATATACATGCAACTTTTAATACAACTAGCTCTCCTTTGGACAATTTGTCTTTAATATACAACTATTAACAAAACTCGTTTTGATAGTTGAGTGACACGTGAAATATTCTTCCATCTATGTACGTCAATATTTGTCTGTCCAATTAATAAAAACTAAAAATTATAAATTTTCTCTTGGTTATGATTATTATGCAGTAGTTATTGACATGGGGGATGATTGTGTTGGGAAAAGTGAAATGACAAGGCAGCAATAATGTTTGGGGTGAAGAAATCGAAGAAAGTAGAAGAAAGAGAAAGTGTACGGATAAGGCCACATTCATTGGCCACAGCACCGCCAAGTTGGAACGCTTTGACTTTTCGCCGTGGAATTCACGCGGCGGCTGAAAAGAAAATTAATAAAAGAGGTTCCGCGTGCAGACCAGAAGAGAGGGAGGGCATCAAAATATGAAACACGTGAGGTGCGTGCGTGCAGCTGTTTTTTTTTTTTTTTTTGCGTGTGTGTGTGATTAAAAGTGAGAAATGATTGGCTTTTTTTAAGTCAGTGTGAGACTGTGTCTGACACTGTGCGTCACGCTTATGCCACTTTCAGTCTTTATCCTCCTCACACACACCCATTTGTGGATACTTCGTTGGTACATTGGGTTCGGATTCTTTACTCTCTTTTCTTCATGGTGCACGCCCAAAATAAAATAGAAAAAAAGAGAGTAAATATCTGTTTTTATTAAGTAAACAGTTCCCATAAAAGAAGGTGAGAATTATTCATGATTATATAATAAATAAATGCATCACAAATTTTTTTATTCAAAAAATATAAATTCAAAATATATTTACCAAATCTTATAATGATTCCCTTGTCATTATTATATATAGAAAAAGAGAGAGTGTGAGGATGTATGGTGGCAAAACATGCCAGTATGGTATAATTAATGAGAGACAGAAGTAGGAGATTAACAAGCGTAATGGTACCAATTTTTTCAAAAAATTAATTAAAAAAAATATTATGACCTTTTATTATACTTTTATAAAATAATTATATATATATTGATCTCTTAAATAATTTTTTCCTTTTTTTTAGTTATTTTATTTGTCTTGAAAAAATAGATTGACGATTAATGAATTGACCTAATAATTAATATTTTTTATTAAATAAATTTTGATCAAATTATTATATTTATATAAATATTTAACAATTTAACTTATTGATATTTTTATTTTAAATTTAAATATTATATAATATATGTATATTTAGGTTTATAATTTATTTATTTTTTATGCATAAATATCCTTTCAAAATTTAAATTATATGCTTTTCATCTATCTTAGTTGATGAATCAGGTAAGGTGAATTAAAGCAAACTAATAAACTACAAATATTAACTTGACATATCAATTATTTCAGACCATATATATATATATAAAGGTATAATCATCACATTTATAAAAATAATATGTAAATATACATATAAACTAGTTTAATATTCTTCAAACACATATAAATAAACTTATTCATCACAATCAATATGTTAAAATCCACATTAAAAGATTCATCACCTTATAACATAAATGTCACATACACATAAAGGGTCACACTCCACTTATTGTCCACAAAACATGTCATTGATAATAAAGATTACACAATGTCTCTATGGGCAATCATACATGTGATCCTTCACAATAAGATTATGAATTGATTTTTACATGACACGCATTGATATAAGTTTTCACCTATTAAATTCTTTAAGTTTCCTCCAAACAAAGGTACCATAAAGATAAATTTAGAACATTCATTTATTATTCATGAATACACACGTCAAACTAAAGAAAAGGAATCTTCATCAACTTTTACCACATAGTATTTATATTTACGTGATTCCAATTATAAATAAAGTAAAATATATCATTAAAAATGTTATCTCAATACATATAGTACTAAACTATAAATGATAATATTATACTCGTATCGATCACAATTCACAAATATTTATATTTCATCCATCATAATTCATAACACATAGCTATTTAATATTATACAATCAATTAAGTATATATAACTCAATATTCTCTGTATACAACACTAAATTTATATTAATTAAATTATTTTAATTTTTATTTCTTATACAAATTCCGTTCAATAAAATATAAAAACACTAAACAAATTAAAAATAACAAAGTAAATTATAAATAAAATACTAAGGGTAATTTTCCTTACCGAGAAATATCTAAATTTTAACCTTTTTTAGTATATTTACAAGCTTCTAAATAAAAATGAAAGATTTAAGCCAAAATTAAAATGATTAGTAAAATATATAATAGTCCTCTATTGTCTTTATTTGTTAAGCAAAATTCAATTCCATTAGACTAATTATGCGATCAAAACACCTTCATACTTAAACATTTTCATCCAAAATCTCAATTTTATCATTCTCATGTCACAATTGATCTTCTTCACCGTACAATTGTAGCACAAATAATAATTTATGATCCATGAAAATCAAAACCAATTAAGAATTAGGGAGGGCGAGAAAATTTGAGCTCGCAAATAGCTGTGAGTAAACTTCATCGTATATACAAAATAAGTACCTTTATAGAATATTCACAAATAATTAGTGCAAATATTTTAATTATTCATTTATTAACAAGATAGATAATAGGTATATCGTGGTATATGTACTTATCAATTTTTTAAAAATAATTCAAATAATTTTATTAATAAAAAAATATTTGTTTATAATTTAATTTTATACACATTTTTCTTTATGTAAATTTATTAAAATAGAGTTTTAAAAAATGATTATATTAAAACTTGTACTTTATAAATTAAATAAAAAAAACTTTTGACGCAATTTATGAATTATTAACAAGTAATGGGGTGGGAAATGAATCAAATTTCAAACTCAAAATCAACCTAACATAATACCATTCAAGTTTATAACTTGGACTTAAGAACAAATTCAATCACTTTAAAATTTAAATATTATTTTATAATAAAGTAAACCACTTAATCATCATAACCATAGTTCCAATTTATTCAAATCATCTAACTTATTCTGTTATCATGATTAAAAATAATTATTCTCTCTTTGACTAATCTGCTCTCCAGACCCAACTACTCCAAAAGAGAATATAAACACAAGCTTTAATATACTCCTAGCAATTTACATTAACAAATAAAATATACCCTTAAATATGTAGATTAACATAGATTAATTTTTACTGAACAAAATATTTGGAAAAGACGAGTAATCGACTCAAAATTTAAGAGTAAATTTTGAAGTTCTAGAAAGACTCACCCAAAGAGATACGACTATTCTGAGATTTTTTTTTTCTTTCTTGATTAATAAATCATTCTTACATCATAAAAGAGTTTCTACCACTTTCTGTTATCCCCCACTTATTTAATGTGTATTAAGATGAAACTTTTTTATTTTGATGACTAAATGTCTAGTATTTTATAATCCTAAACAAATATGGAATCTTAACCAAATCTTTATCAAATATAAGTGTGATAAAATTTATTTCATGATATCTCATTCATAGGATTTTATATTTTATTCATAAATATTATTAATGTTACTAATTATCTTTTCCTAGTTAAAATTTATTCTTTTAGTTATATCAAAACGTGTTTTTAATCTACAATTGAAAACTAACTTGTATTAAACACATGAATTTAGTAACAGATTTTGTCTTTCACAACATGTTCAAGAGTTTCAGCCAAGTACTAATTCTGTTGCACTTTATTAGTGAATTTAATTTAAATTGTATTAAAGTTTGATATATGAATTGGATATTTGATACAAATTATTTATGAATTATACATTTAATTTTTAATTTATTAACATAAAATAAAATATAATATAAAACTAATAATCAATAATAAAGAAAATCTTATTTATATATATATATATATATATATATATTATATAAATTTATATAAATGTTTACAAATTTAAAGTATTTTCATATTAAAAAAAGAAATTTGTCAATTTTAGCTTTATAAAAGTCGGTTGTGGTCCTATATTGTCCCGTAGTAACATACGTTTGTTTGTTTGTCAAGAACGAAGGGATGAAAATAAAGAATTATGTTATAAATAAAATTAGAAAAAATACTAAGTTTTGATAATATTTTTATTTTATTATAATTTTTTTTACAAATTATTTTAAAAAAATAAATTGTAAGATGAAATTTAATTTTTACTTAGACTTAATATTTTAAAAATAAAAATTTATCCAATTTAATTTTTATAAAATCAATTTATAAAATTAATTTTTATTTTATTTATATATTATAATATTATTATATTTTTTATTTTATATCTTAATATTTATATTTCATTAATTTATAATAATATATAACCATTTTTAAAACATAAGAATACCGTTTAAATGTTATGTTTATGTTATTCCGTTTTTTATTTTAAGTAGTGTATATACTATAATAGTTGTGTAATAAAAATTATAAATAAAAACGTTTAAAAAAGATACGGAAATAAAATATTTATATATTATCTATTAATATAACTTATTAGTATCTCATTTATTTATTTAATTGCACTCAAATTTGAATTGATCTGTGGGCTGTTGTACTTATCAAGACGCAGCAGAGAAAGAAGTTTTACAGGTGGAGTGCAGATTTTTGTGTGGTCCACAAAATTGTAACGTTAAAAAAAAGAAAAAATATAATAATTGAAATTGAATTTTCAGTTTACTATTGTGAAGTAAAAATTTAAAATAATATATGGTATAAAATATTTTAATTTGTCATTACGAGGTCAATTTTAGTATATTTGTAATGTTAATGTAACAGAATCTTTGAAAGACCAACTATTAGAAAAAACAGGAAAATATTTTATATAAAATATTTATTGTGGTATAAATAATTAATATTTTTTGTTTTAACACTAAGATTGTTTAATGAGATATATTAAACATTTTAACCTGGTGTATTTATAATATTAATTAAGATAACATTTATCTAAGTTTTACTACGTGGTTTAATACTTGTTACACTGTTATTTATCAAAATCAACGTCTTAATTCCCCAGCTTAAATAATCTTAATTTAATTTATAAATAATAAATAGTTTTTTTTAATATTATCATTATCCATAATGTTTTAATATTTTCTCAAAATATTTTCTATTGCAACGTCCCTATTTTTGCTTAAAAGAAGTCGTGTAAAAATAATTAATACACAAATATTTTATATTGGGACTGATAAAGAGTACTCCTGTTAATTCGGGTATTATAAATAACAAGGGGTAGTTTAATTTGGTATCTTTTGTTAATGACACTTTTTTATAGACATTCTCCCCATTAATTAATAAATAGTTAGTTTAAACAGGGTTAGATTATTCTATCATATGTCTTTTAATTCATTAAACTTTAAATTATTTTATATTACAATGTTATAATCATAGTTAACTTCACAAATAGAAATATGTTTAAACAAAATTTAGTCTTATAATTTTTATGATTCGAATAAAATTTTTTTCTATATATGCCCATGGGTATATATTACTATTAATTGATTTAATGATAACAAGATAAAAATAAAAAATAAAAAAACAAATTTTCATAAAATGTGTAATTTTTTCTAGAGTTTTTCATGTTCAGTCTTATTTGAAAAAAATCTACATAGTAATATTATTTCTTGTATGTAATAATTTTTTAATCCAAAGTATTTATATTATAGTTATTTATTAATAGTTTAAATTTGGTACTGTACATAAAAAAAAGGAAGGAACTTAATATAGTTTTTATGTTTTAGTGAAGGAGGAAAATATAGGAAGAAAGAAAGCATATTGGTGGGTAACTCAACTCATCATCTTACAGCGTAAAACAGCGTGTCTTAAAAAAATAAAAATGGGGACATGTAGGCGTGTCTTTGCGAAAAGCTAGGCGTGGGCGTTTGGGTTTCGCGGAAGGCTCGCACTGCTGGCTCACAGTCAATCTTCACAAACCAAATACTACTAAAATTCACCCTAAATGCACTCCAAATAAATTCCAAACCCAAATGCATCCTCTCTTGTTGGCTAGCTAGCTTTCTGTTTTATCCCCTTTACTCCATCTTTTTCTCTCCACTTCTTCCACTCCCAATCCAATCCAAGTTCAATTCCTCAAACCCACCAATCATCCATCACCAACATCAATAACTCAGCCTCCGCGAGTGGATGAATCTCTGGACGGACGATAATTCCTCAGTCATGGAGGCTTTCATGTCGTCCTCCGATCTCTCTTCCATATGGCCCCCGCCGGCGCCGCCGCAGTCCGCCGCGGTCTTCAACCAGGACACGCTCCAGCACCGCCTCCAGGCCCTCATCGAGGGCGCCAGGGAGAACTGGACCTACGCTATCTTTTGGCAGTCCTCCTACGACTATTCCGGCTCCACGCTCCTCGGCTGGGGCGACGGTTACTACAAAGGCGACGACGACAAGGCCAAGGCCAAGGCCAAAGCCAAAGCCAAAGCTACCTCAGCCGCAGAGCAGGACCACCGCAAAAAGGTCCTCCGCGAGCTCAACTCCCTTATCTCCGGTTCCTCCTCCGCCGCCTCTGACGACGTCGACGAGGAGGTCACTGACACCGAGTGGTTCTTCCTCGTCTCCATGACCCAGTCCTTCGTCAACGGCGCCGGCTTGCCCGGCCAGGCCTTCTTCAACTCCAACCCCGTCTGGGTCACCGGCGCCGACCGTCTCTCCGCCTCCCCCTGCGAGAGAGCCCGCCAGGGACAAGTATTCAGCCTCCAAACCCTAGTCTGCATACCCTCGGCGAACGGCGTCGTAGAGCTGGGGTCCACCGAGTTAATTTACCAGAACTCGGATCTGATGAACAAGGTCAAGGTTCTCTTCAATTTTAACAACAACTTCGACATGGGTTCTTCTTGGCCTGCTACTAGCGCCGATCAAGGAGAAAACGACCCGTCCTCGCTTTGGCTGAACGATCCTGAAGTTAGGGATTCCATTAACACTGTCGCAGCTACCCCTTCTGTTTCCGTTTCGGTTCCCCCTCATAACAGTACTCACGGGATTTCAAAGACGATGCAGTTGGAGAGTTCTATTCAAACCCCGGGTTCCAGTACCCTAACTGAAACCCCAAGCTCTATGCACGCTATTCCGCAGAACCAGAGCGTGTTCTCTAGAGAATTGAACTTCTCTGAGTACGGTTTTGACCCCAAGAGTGGCAACAATCACAATCAGCATTCCCTGAAGCCTGAATCCTGCGAGATTCTCAGCTTCAGCGAGAGCAAGAGAACTTCTTACGGCGGCGGCGGCGGCGTCAATGGAAATTCCAATTCCAATTCCAATTTTTTCTCCGGTCAATCAACGTTTGTTGCTGTTGCGGATGACAACAACAATAACAACAACAACAACGGGAAGAGACGGTCGCCGAATTCACGAGGCAGCAACGATGACGGAATGCTTTCGTTCACCTCCCGCGCGATTCTTCCGGCCACGAATTTGAAGTCTGGCGGCGGCGGCGATTCCGACCACTCGGATCTGGAAGCGTCGGTGGTGAAAGACCCTGTGGTGGAGCCGGAGAAGCGGCCTAGGAAGAGAGGGCGGAAGCCAGCAAACGGAAGAGAGGAACCGTTGAATCACGTGGAAGCGGAGAGGCAGAGGAGGGAGAAGCTGAATCAGAGGTTCTACGCGCTTCGTGCTGTGGTTCCCAACGTGTCCAAGATGGACAAAGCGTCGCTTCTGGGCGACGCCATATCTTACATCACGGAGCTGAAGTCCAAACTTCAAACCCTGGAATCAGATAAAGATGGTTTGCAGAAGCAACTTGAAGGAGTGAAAAAGGAACTCGAGAAATCAAACGACAACATTTCTTCTAATCATACTAAGCACGCGGGTAATAGTAACATTAAGTCGTCGAATCAGGCGTTGATTGATTTGGACATCGACGTGAAGATTATTGGGTGGGACGCGATGATAAGGATTCAATGCAGCAAGAAGAACCACCCGGCGGCGAGGTTGATGGCGGCGTTGATGGAGTTGGATTTGGATGTGCACCACGCCAGCGTGTCGGTGGTGAACGAGTTGATGATCCAACAAGCGACGGTGAAGATGGGGAGTAGGTTTTACACGCAGGAGCAGCTTCGTGCGGCCCTGTCGGCTAAGGTTGGGGATGTACGATGATAACGGGCTGCACTTTACGGCGTTGAGTAGAGACGAGATTATATGGTGTGTTTGTGTCATGTTAGCTAGCTAGCTAGCTCCGTGTAAGTTGTGCTGCTCTGGGATATTTTAAGCCTTCCCGGTAGCTGTTTGTAAAATAGTAATAATAATAATCTTTTTTTCTTTTTTGGGCTGTAGCTTAGTATGAATTTTGAGGTAATTAAGTTGGGGGGAAGCTTCATGGAGTAGTAGAACCAGCTAGGGACAGTTCTCACCAAATCTGTGGGTGGGAGGAGTGGAGATAGCAGCTAAGTAAAATAGGGGTATTTTTATCTGTCTAGATCATGTATATATTAATTAATAATCATAAATGTGAACGATCATGATGCAAGTTCTCAGAATTATTATTCTTTAGCTTATCAGTTCCATTCCCAGACATAGTTGCCATTCCAGTTTTCGTTCTTCGGAATAATCTTTGTTTTTATGCTTCGAGTCAAGAGATTATGAGAGAATGCCTTTCTTTAAAATTCTGGGTTGTTTTTTGTTTCTGGTTTACGTTCTACCCACTTCCTTACTGGACTTTTCTGTCACTCAACCATGGAAGAGAACAATTTTTTAATCCTTGTTGGTATGATGGAGTTGTTGTGCTTTTGCTGTGTGAACTTTGTGTATGGGTGTGATTGAGTTGATAGCTTGGTTGTCATTGGGAACCAAAATTTTCCTGCTGCTTTGAGTTGATGTTCCTTTTGAGCCATGTGAAAAATGCTTACCAACAGAAAACACGTCCTGCTTCTCTGTCTTTATGCTAATGGAAATTAATTTTTAAGCGTCTACATCTTTGCTACGTTTTCAAGTTTTTGACTAGCTCGCGCACTATTAGACCCTCTCTCTTATTTTTTCCGATCTGGTAAGCCAGTTTCCTGATCAGGTATTCTGCTAACTACTGTTCTGACCCTACTACCAACTTTGACAATGAAAATGTCTTCCGACATGCATGGTAGGATTGAGGGTAAAAAAAGGGTATCGAATACTACTTTAGTCCCAAGTTGTCTGTGTACGAGGCTATGGCATGTATGTGTTTGTGGAATCTGAATCAGTGCTAATGCACGAGAATAGCCAGCAGTCCACCATTAGAAAGAGACCCAAATAGATGGCTCTTTCTCTTAAGCTACTTAAAAACAACATGGAATTTGATTCATTTCCTAACTATTTCTGCTATGTTAAACTTAAATGGTTATAAATGGAGTTTATAGCAGTATGGCTCTGTACTTTTTACTAGCTACACAGCTGGACTTTTTGGCATTTAAGGAATCCTGGGATATAAGCGGAATTGGATAAAACTTTTTTTAAGTAAAGTTTACTACTTCTAAATATGCTAAAACCTTTAACGTTGCACATATAGTTGCTATAAAACAAGTTATTGTTCCATTCAGTTGTATGTGTAGTAGTTATAGAATTCTCCACTTATAAAGAAATAATTTCATTACAAACTTATGTCAAACAGACGGAAGATGACATTGGCACGATTACTAGACACCATTAATTACTGCCTTAATTAATGCTCTTAAAAAAAAAAATTCCCATGTGGGTGTCCTCAACTGCCTTAAACTATAATCTTTACCGTCCCTTTCCTATTGATATTGGTGATGAGTTGTAAAATCCAGATCTCCTTTTGATGAGCTAGGAAGGGCAAAGGTGTTAAATGCTTTAGCATAGTGCATGACCACAAGTATATAAAACGTTCAAGCAAAAAGGTATCCATCTGGCTTTGACAAAACAGGTGCAGGATGCATGATACAACTCCATTTCCACACGGAACAAACTGAACAAAGCAACCGCTATACGTCCATCATTGGAATTCTGCAGATTGTTTTAATGGCTGGAATTAACAACTCAGCAAATTATGCCTTCATGTTTCTTCCTTCTTATAATTCTTTTTCTATAATTTCTTAAACACTTTTCCTTCCATTATGACCTTTACCAAACTTAGGACAGGTTTTCATTCAAGCCACTCCTATCATGCTAAATTAAAAAAAATAAAAAAACTACCTGTGATTACCACAAAAAAATTATTAATTTTGATACATGTGATTCTAAAATCATTTCATACCCGTTGAAAGAAGAGATATGCGACGAAGGAGCAGTGGGAAGTAGATAACCGTAGCTATCTGTAGAAGAATGGACAGATAAGTGATCCTCATCAATGTTAAGTATAATACATACAAAAATACAAAAATGTTCCCACCATTTCATTACTAAATTAATTTTTCTTTGAGGATTATAGATGAATAGACGCCAATGTCAAGCAACGGCAAATCTAAATTAGCTGATGCAAACGATTGCGTGCTCCGGAGAAAATTGGGGTGCTTCGTTTTTTTCCCCTTCTTTTTGTTGATTTAATATGATGAAATTGAGGTGAATCATATTTATGTGGGGTTCATTTTTGCTTGGTGTTGATCCAAGCGAATGATGAAGACGTTTTGAATGGTTAAAGTTAGTTGAAGTGGTAAGAGATGTTTATTATTATATAAACACAGTGGTCTCCAAATATGATATTGCAAATAGGATAGAACATGATTAACCATAACATAAGGCCAAAAATCCTATGTCAAACATTGTTTTCTGTGTTTATCACCACTTTCTCAAAACGGAGGCTTTTGCACAAAGACTAATGTCGGCTTACATCACCTTGAAATCTTTCCATTGGAATGACTTGATGAGAATGTGTCCCAACACCATTTTTAAGATTATCCAGTGCATGGCAGATATTATAAAATTATTTACCAAACATGGCAATTATTATAAGATTAACATAGTAAAACCAAATGATTTTTCATAGGATAAAATGTAATCAAAAAATAGTTTTACAAGCATATACTTTGCATCTGTCACCCAAACTATAAATTGAACTTCTGGTTTGGTGCTTGCATGTGTTGAAAGACTCTCAACACATGACTCTTTCTTTAACAAGAACAAAAGTAATCAGAGTTGTCCATTGTTTATAATGTGAATAAAATTTTGACAAATCTTAATTATTTAGATTAAGGAAAAATGTTGGAGTGTAGAATGTAAATGACATACCACAAAAATCACTAATCCTTTCCATTCATATTAAATCAACTGTTAAATCCAAATGTAGTCTAAATACACATTTAATATGCTAAAAGAATGAAGAATTTAAAAAAAAATCGTTTCTCACGTTTAGCATTAAAAAGAATGTTAAGGTAGAATAAACAAAAGATAAATTACAGAATAGAAATCTTAATATTTGTCCGTATAATAAGCAATATTATTTTTATTTTTGCATAATATTATAATTAATGATCAAAAGTATTAATCAATTTGATCACATCTTAATTATGTAAAACATAATATTATGATTAATGGTAAAATATATTCATTAGTTTTAAAAAATCTTATATTAATATGTCTAATCTAATTAAAGATTAACTCAATTTTTTTCATATTATTATAATTTTTCATACTTTGTGTAGATTTCTTATAGATGTTCTATACAAATTTGTATGAAATTAGATTATAGTAAATTTTTATATGAATTCTGAAAAAATTTCAGGAAAAATTTACAGAAAAATGTTTTACGAAATGTAAAAACTTCTAATAACACTAATTATTTAGACTTTTGCTTAAGTTTGTCACTTGCATGTTTCAAAATCTAATCATCCAAATTCCTTTTTATTTTTGACATGATAGTTTGTTTGGAAACTCGTACATCCATTCACACTAAAATCACATTAAATTTAATGCTATATTTATGAAAACTATTATAAAATTATTTATTTGAGACGATCATTAAAATTTTAATGACACGAAAACACATATTTACGAATATATTTTAAAAATTATTTATTTTTAAGGGGGTAATATTTATAAGATTAATAAATATTTATTTATTTCGACATAACAATAAATTACTATTTTTAAACTTATGTTTGGATTTGGTGGAGATTTGAGGGAGTGAAGTTGAAGTAATTTGATTTGAATAGATTTGTGGATTATTTGGATTTAGAGAAAAATAGTGGATTTGAACGGATGCAAGTGAATTTATTATAGTTGATGTGATTGATTTAATTGAATATAGAATAATTGAATAATGATATTTTTAGTATAATGATGAATTTACTTTGTGAGGTGGAATGAATAAATTAAGTAAAAATTAGAAAATAAAAAAGAATTAAAAAGGACAATTCAAACATTTATTACTTAATTACTCATTTTCTCACAATTTTAAAGTAAATTTGTGAGGGTGTGTGACCCACCTCCCTGTCACCCTAAATCCACTCAAGTCACCGTAAACAACTAATAAGTATCCCATAAATCTCCTCCTTCAAATTCTTTATTGGAGTAAATCAGTAGAAAGCAAATAAAACATAAAATTGATAATATAATTCAATTTAACTTGATAATATAATTCATTTCACTTGATTTTATGGGTTAAATATAAAAAATGAAGGTTTTTATTTAAAAATAAATTATAATTTTTTTAATTTAATATCATTATATATTAGACTACATATTTAACTAATTAATTTTTCTTAACATGTCCATATATATAAAAAAATTATCTGGAAAATTCATCCAAAAAAATAATTGATTAAAATATAATATATATATATATATATATATATATATAGTATTTAACTTTAAATTATATCAATTAATTAATTTCAGCAATGAGAAAGTGATTTTCTTTCAATATGAGTGAGAAGACTTACTTTTAATTCTTTTCATTATTTTTTTTCGAGAATAGTCTAAAATGATAATTATTTTGTTTATTAAATTATAAAAAAATGAATGATGAAGATTAAGAATAAATCTTTAACTTTTATTTTTAACTAAATAAATCTCTTCTTATTTATAATACATATATATTTTAATAAAATTATATACTTTTTTATTTAAAAAGAATGATAATAATTTTATAAAAAGTTTAATCTATTAATCTATTGCTGAGATCTAATCATATTCTAACAACAAATTATAGGAGTTTAGTTAAATTTTAT